GCTGACTGTTATCTTCAGGCTCCAGGTAGGCAGCAGGCTATTAGTTAAGTTTCAAAAGTTATCCTTGGATTTTCAACTGCGTGGGGGGTAGACGCTCCTGACCCTCACGTTGTACTACTGAGCGCCCAGCATCTGGCCGGCACTGTGCGAGGCCCTGGGGCCCCAGGGAGCAAGCCCGATACAGTCTCTGCTGTGGCGACTTTCACCCTGTGGGCCGTCCGTACTGCGGGCAGTGCGCAGGGAGGGTGGAGCTGCTGTGAGGCCTGAAGAAATAGGCATCTGGGGAGGTAGAGCAACTGCAAGAGAGAGAAGAGGAACGTCCCCAGAGGGGACGGCAAAATGCCAGGGCAGGACATCCTCAAAGGACCTCTCAGCTCCGTGCAAACACCCCACAGCCCTTCAGGCCACCGCATGGTGTTTAACGTCCCGGTGCCAAATCTAGCCGGCTGGGCAGTGCTAATAACCTACACCTCATCAAAACAGGAGCAGCCAGAGCACCTGTCTGCTGTGGGGGCGGGGGACCATCATGCACCCCCCGCTGGCACCACAGCGCCTGACTCTTGGGAGGCCAGCACCTCTGTCCTGATGGATGGGACGGCACTTCTGTTCTCCAGTTAAAAACAACCCATGATGACACTTCAGGATGAAAAACAAAGAAACAAAAAAGCGCCAGAACAGAGCTGCCCTCGGCCCGCATGAAGCTCCCGACCATTGCTCCCACTTCCGTGACCAAAGACATGATCCCCAATAAAACGTCAGCTACTAGCCCCCTGCAGCTGCGGTACCTAGCCGGGAAGCCTTTTCCAGTGGAGGCGTCAAGTCTTTCTACAGCCTTTTGTTCGGTTTTTTGAGGGAGGTTTTATTTTGCTAAGTGCTATTCTAAATGACATCCACGGCGAGTCACCGGTGATGGCGGAGCTCACTGGGGGCCCCTCAGCCCTCCCGTCCCCCACTTCCCTTGGTGCTGGGGGGAGAAGACGGAAGGGGGTCTACATTCTGGCTTGGACGATGTTCAGAAGCAAGGGCACTCAGGCCTGCGGTCCCCAGAGGGCGTCAGATGGCTTCCCTTGGCAATTCCACACCATTTTGGTTTGGATAAATGGGGAGGGAGGCAGCTAGATACTGACCACAAGGGCCGGGAGTCAAAGATGGAGCCTGCGCGGTAGTACATAAACACTTCTGGAAGCTGACAAGGGACAGGCCCTGTGCTGAGCCCCCTATATGGGCCCCCTCAGCGATGCCCACAAGAAATCAGGAAGGCGAGCAGGCCTGCCCCTCCTCACAGCCGGACCTGAGAAGCAGGGAGGTCCTGTAACTGGCAGAGGGCCCCGTAGAGCATGCCCCCCCCCACATCTGGGTCATGTCTCTGCTCGTTCTGACATTCACTATTGCCTCCGGGCTACATCACAGAAGGGGGAGGCTCACCTCCCAGGACAGGGAGCAGGGAGCTGAGTGTTCCAGTCACTGAGGGAGGAAGGCTGCCCCACCAGCACCCTGGCACTCACCATCCATGCCCGAGTCTGCTCATTGATCTGGGGGGGGTATTAGCACTCGCATCACTGGTGTGTGGTTCAGACTAAATGGGGTAAGACAGGGAACGGGCTGCACCGTGAGCCAGTGACTCAATGCGCTTCCTCGCTGCTTCCAGGATGACTGCCGGCTCCTCCCGTCTCCCTCGGGTGAGATGCTGAAGCTCCCACATATGAGGAAGGGTCAGAGAAAACTCGGGGGGAAGGAGAAAGGGCTGCGCACTCTGAGTCAGGACTAGTCCTGTTTTGAGACATCAACATACGCTATCATGTCATAGAACTGATGGGTTTGCTAAGTCCCCACGGTTCTGAGGCTATTGATTTACTGACACATCAACTTGAACAAACTTATAAAAGGAAATACTGCCTGAGTTCACATGACACCTTTTCTACAAGGAGCTCAAGAATGTCAAAAGATTCGTATTCATGTACATTTTTTTATAGAACAGGAAGGGGTGACAGGTACCAATCTTATTTTTTAAGAAGTAATGAAAATGAACGAAGCTAGTAAAACACCCAAAATTAAACCCAGGACTAAACATGTCTTTTCCACTCCCAGATCGAATGTGTTGGAACTGCCTGCTGCACCCAGTTCACTGAAAAGTAAACATATGTGATCGATGAGAATATGCACAAATATTCACATACACTCTGAATCCCTTTCTCTCCCAACATGTCAGACTTCCTGGACGACGCTACAAGCTCTGGCCAGACAAAACTTGCTGTGTGACCACATCAGGAAGATCCCCGCGGCCCTCGCGTCAGTGGTGCGACGGGCTGGGAGAGGGACTCCGACGGAGCTTGAGCGGGTGCCGGGTTATTTCCTGACTCGCTTCACAGAATGATGGGCGCGACTAACACAAATCCTACGAGCCTCCTTCCCTTTCTGCTCCCGAGAATACGAAGACGCCTCTTCCCCATGAGGCCATGACGACAAAAATGTGTCCCATGAAGGGATAAGAGTGGCAGCACCTTTGCAGTGAGGCACTGGAGCCACCTCGGGCTGTCCACGGAGGCCACAACCGACTGCCGCCTGGTCCCCCTTTCTTCCTGCTGTGAGCTTGTCGCTCCTCGCCATGCTGAACTGCCCCCCATCTGTGTGCGCGAGCGTCTCTGCAAGGTGACTTTGCCGCTCCTGCCATGAAGGATGGAGTCTACGTCCGACACGCGACCTGCTTTGCCCAGGCAGACGTCAGCAAGCGTGAGGTGAGCAGAGGCGTGAGAAGCCGGTCCTCTGCAGCTCTCCCAGCCCTGGGGACAAGCCTGCGCGGGCCTCTCGGGAGGTGAGAAGGTGCGTAGAGGGGTGTCGCAGTCATCCCAGCAGCCCGGGGAGGCCCGAGAGAGGGCGGTGAGGTCAGCCCAGGTCACCTGGCCCCACTGTCAGGCCGGATCAGAGAGGCCGCCAGATGACCCACGGAACCGTGAGCAACTACAACAGTGGTTGTTTTAAGGGGCTAAGTTTGGGGGTGGTTTGTCGCACAGCAAAGGCGAACCGGTACACTCAACTCTGTGCTTCATTTTTGAACTCTGGCTTTCCTTGCTAACTTGAAGGAGTTTGCAGAACTGATCATAAGCAGAAATGTGACACACAGAATACGTTTTTATGAGTTCCTTGAAGAGCATAGTGCTTCTCCAACTTCTCGACACTTTCAGAGCAATAACCTCTGGGAATCTGACCCCCCACACATGCACAGGAGAGCAGCCAGTTTATGCAGATGGACGGCCCCTGTGACACTGATTATGGTCACACAAGAGGGGAAACACCTGTATACCAATCATTAAGGGAACAGATAATACAGTATGGTTTAAAGTAGAACGGAAGAAAAGGCAAATGGTTAAATGTGTTTTAAACAAGCTATTCTGCTGACCACCTTGTAGCTTTCACTTGCCACAGCAGAACAAAACCCAAATTTTAATCTGCAGCCATTACTTTCTGCCCTGGAAACTGCCATCCACACATGAAACTTGCCCCAGAGTCACAAGGTACACAGCAGCAAGTGGCTGGTTTTGGAAGCCAGAGGCAAGGGCAGATATTTCTAAATTTATCATTTAAAATGCTCACACAGGTATTAAATAATTCAATTCCCCCACACCCCCTCCCCGGGCATTATAGGTTTCTTCAAATGTATTGCTTAAGTATTATTCATGATGGTCAAAAATGGAGACAACCCAGGTGCCCATCAGCAGATGAACACATAAACAGAAGGTGGTCTACCCACGTGACGGAACGCTGTTTGGCCATAGGAACGAAGATCCGACACGTGCTACAGCACAAATGGAACTTGGAAACACTATGTCAAGTAAAAGAAGCCAGACACAAAGGCCACATATTCTATGATACCACTTATATAAAATGTCCAGAATAAGCAAATCCCCAGAGAGAGAACTAGATGAGTGGCTGCTGGGAGCTACGGGTTAGGGAAATGTGGAGTGACTGCCAGCGGGTGTAGGATTTCTTTGTGGGGCGATGAAAATGGTCTAAAACTCATTGTAGTAATTGTCACAGAACTCCAGGACTACACAAAGAACACTAGATTGCACAATTTAAATTGGTGAATTATATAGTATGTGAATTACATCTCAACAAAGCTGGAGATAAAACCCAAATAAAAAAATGAACATAGCAATGTTCTATGATGTAGAATATAGATTGGTCCTCGTTATAATGTAACGTAAACATGTACATTTAAATCTGGTGAAAATCTTTATCTCATCATTTTGCTACTGTGTGTGTATGTGTGTGTGTTTGGGATGGAGAGCTTGGGAAAACATTTTCTAAAAGTTTAAGGTGTGACCTGCTGGCCCATGGGGAGGCAGCCCAGGACGGACGCCTCATCTCCAAAAGCTGCCCCTCACTCCTCAGTCTTAACTATTTTGCGTGCATGTCTTACCTCCCATCAGGACTGCAGGCTGTGAGGGGACCACCATGCCCAGTTCCATGTCACCCTCTCAGTATTTAGCGAAGTTCAGTACCAACAGGTGATTAAGAAATAAAGCAAACTCATAAAATAGGTAGGTTTAGAGAAACAGGCCTATAAAAGAATTCTCCTGTATAAAGATTCACTGAACAAGCTCCCCTCATAGATAGAAAAGATGAATCAGATTTAGGAAAGATCTGCCAACCCTCAACTTTTCCGGATATCGGCGTAAAGTGTGTACTATGTAAAATGTGGTAGGTGTTTACCACGAGTCCCTGCTATCAACAAGCTCTCGCCTTCCCTGTGAAGCAAAGCAAAATGAAAGCTAAAAGCGGCTGCAGCGTGAAGACTTCCCTCCCCCAACAACGGATCCAACACAAGTAGAAATTGCCCTTAGAACCTTCGAGAAAGTGAAGTCAGAGATGGGTCGGCAGAAATGAATGCCTGCTCATGCCCAAGGGCCCAACAACCGCCTGGCTGCCCCCGGGCAGAGACTGGGCATCTCATTGGGGGTCAGCGCGGAAGCCAACTGTGGGGAGGGCTGCGACCTCACCTCGGGAATCAGCCGCCGCCTCTTCACGCTGGGGACGGAGTCAGGCTGGCCGTCGCCACCCGGCTTTCGCTTGCCGACGTCCTGCAGGGCAGTGAAGACGCTGTCCAGGGGGTGCTTCTCAGAGGCCCTGGAATTCACCGAGCAGTCAAGGGCAGCATCTTCGACCTCGGCCTCCACCTTCACAGGGTTTTTTTTTAGAACTGTGACAGAGAAGAGACAGGGCTCAGCAGGAAAGACCGCCGGGCGGCTGGCAGTTCTCTGGGGGGCAGTGGGCTGCCCTTTGACCTTACCACTTAGACAAGTGTCTGGGCACAGGAAAACTGCACTTGCCAACCACATAATTTTTTATCTCACCACATTAGTGCTATACAATAAATTCGTGCTCAGAACATTTTGTTCAAAACTGGATTTAAAGTCTTTTTGGAGGAGGGAGAGAAACAAATACTACCTTTTAAATGATGCTTTTAAGAAAGTAACTCTGGAATAAGATACTTGCATGGGTGGTGGGAGGGGACTTCATGGATTTTTCATTATGTATCTCTGTATTTTTGAACCATGTGAATATATGACCTAATAAAAAATATCGAGTTATATTTTTAAAGAGTTTTTTTTACCTTCCTCTACATCTTCACTGAATTCAGTTGCGTTCATCTTCTATTCCACTAAATGAAAAGACAAAGACAAAGTCTTGACTTACTGATTCATTTCTTCCTCTTCCCTGCCCACGAGAAGACCCCGACCCTCCCGGGCGCGGCGCCGGGGAGGAGAGGACCAGGCCCGTGCCGCCCTGCGCCCTCCCAGAGAACCACGGCCTCTCACTGCCGCCCGCCGATGCCCAGGGGCAGCCAGACTGTCTGTCTGCCTGGAAGTGCTTCTCCAAGACTTCAGGTGGGCAGAACGGGCCTTAAAGCACCGACTAAGGGCCACTTACAGAGCTAGTGAACATTATTCGAGAGAACCAGGTCTTCTGTAAAGGTTCCGGTTTGTATGATGTCCAGTTGGTTTGATTTACAAATTCCAGCCACACAATGAAAAGGCTGCCTAAGGACGGACGCTCGGACCCCGTGGACCTGAGCTGAGGCCTTAGGACTCCAGGTGGCCCGAGGAGACCCGCGCGGTCCAGGAGGGCAGCCGCTAGTCACGTGCTACCGACGACCAGGGACAGGGCCAGTCCAAACGGAGACACGCCGCGCGTGTAAGACACACACCGGATTTCAAAGACAGCAAAGCAAAAAGAATGCTAAATTATCTCAATTTTTTATATTGATTGCCTGCTGAAATGATATTTTGGATTTATTGGGCTAAAGGTTTTTAAAGCTCTTGAGCTCCACACAGGCCCAAACCCTTTCTACTGATAGGGGAACCGGGAGGAAGGGGCTGGTGGTGTCCTGCAGGGGCTGGCGCCTGGCTCCTACTGCCCCGGCAGGAACAGAGCGGACGCCGTCACTAAGAGCACCGCTCAGTCTTTGGGGCTCCCCAAATTACAGAGCAGTGTGCCAACAGACGGTACAAGGTATAAATGATGTAGGAACACTAGGGAAAAAATACACAGGGCAGCCTTTCCTGCCGACACGGGAGCCGTATTCCCACAGCCGATGAAGCTGACTGTGAGCGCTGAGTTCTGAGTTCCAATTCTGGTTACAGATTGGAGGAGAGCAGGGCTGAGGAGCGCCTCCTAGGAAATTCCTATAAGGAAGAGGGAGGCCATGTGCCAAGTTCAGTAGCACATTCAAGGCATGGTCCTGCTCCAGCCGGCTGAATGGGGGGTTGGGGGGGCCCGGGAGCCAGAGTCCACGGATCTGTGCTGCCAACTCCGACAACTTCAGAAGCACTAATAACGTAACACTTACACGGGGTGTGACACACTGTTCTCAGTGTGTCACAACTTTTTGACAAGCACAATTCTTGTCATGCCTGTCATTACTGATTTCCGGAGGCATGAATGGGAAATGTAAGATTTCTCTGAAAGTAATATTGCACGGAAGGCAATTCCCACCTACCAAGCTATGTCTTATCTGAAAAACATATCACAGGAGGTGCTTTTGGGGGAAAGCAAACAGCAAGTGAAATTCAAGAGTCCAGGAACTATTCGACCAGAGGCAAAGCATTGGCAAGTAGGTGAGCTTCGGTCCCTGTTCAGACCAGGGAGCGACTCGGGGCTCATCCTCCCAGACCAGGCTGGGGGCCTCTTAAGGAGAGGCACTGCAGGCCTCCCCCAAAGGCCCGGTGCCTGCCGGCTGCCCTTGAAAGCCCTGCCACGTGGTCCCAGGACCCACTCCCTCAAATTGGGGCAGAAGGGCTAAGCAGCAGCCCAGGAGGAACGAGGAAGGGGCCGAGAGGGTACAGCGCCCAACACATATGACATTCTGGGGAGAAAAGAGACAAGGAGGAGATGGCGATGATTTATCTGGGAGGGAAAAGGGTCAAGGTGAAAGGAAAAGCACAGAGACTCTTGCTCAGAAAGTATTAAAAGGAAGAACAAATCCTAGAAGGAAAGAAAGCAGGGTCAGTGAGAAAACACAGCAGACACAACACCACGCGCTGGGCAAGGGTGCGGGCCGGCTCACACACACCACACCCGTCCAGACAACTCCTCTGCCTGCAGTGTGGTACGGAGGCGGCTGCACACAGCTGGGGCTGGAATTGTGAGCAGGAAGGCTGTTTTCTGAGCAACCACCATGCGACACTCCAGCAGACAGTTTAGTACCTGAATTCTGAGCCCCCATGAGTGGTGAGCCACCTGCAGTGGGGGTCACAGGGCTGTGGGGGAGGCGCAGCCTGCTTCCCGGCCATTCAGGAGGCCCAGAGCGCATCTGCTTTGGAAAACATTTCCGTGGCCATTTATAGACCAGGGACAGATGCTAGATTAGCACAGAAGGAGCCCAGAGCGCAGTACAGGGGGCCCCTTCCCTCCCAGCCTGCAAAGCAGCCACGCTCCCCAGGGAGCTGGGGTACTGCTCACCTGCAAGGCCTGGGCCCCACCGCACCTGGCTGCGGGGAGGGCAGTGAGGCAAAGGTCCTCATGAACACCCGCAGCCCAGACCCCAGGCACCTGTACCTCACCCTGAGCCACCTTAACCCCAATGTGACCAATAAACCTAGGGCACATGTCTTCAATATACACAACTTTTACCTGCCAGCCACATCTCAGTGACGCTGGAGAAAACTACCTGCATATCATTTTCACAAAATAAAACATTTGACTACTGGAAGCAGAAGAGGGAACGGAGGGCAGGCAGCTTGTTCGAGGGCCCCACAGCAGCTAAGAGGGTTCAAGCCAAGTCTGTGAGCCTCTCCTGCCTGGGAGAGGAGAGAACAGAATCCTCATTCTTCCGACGAACGCAGGGGCCGGTTTTCAGCCCTGGATCTACCTGCCCAACAGCAGCCCAAGCACCCACATCCCCTTCAACTCCGCACAGCTACTTGCAAAGCCTGTCTGCTCTGTGCTTGGACTCCACCCGATACAATGCAGAACTGCTTCCGGAAGAGGGCTGCGTGGGTCACTCCCCACACCGCAAGCAGACATTGTGATGGCACCCCAACACACCACAGTGGGGAGGAAGAGGTGGGCACCACGCAGCCACTTCCACTTCCCAGTCACCTGCCCAGGTGAGGGGCACAAGGGCGCATCCCGGGTGGGCGCCGGGCATGCCGTGTACACAGCTGTGGCCGCGACAGCACCACGTGCCCAGGCTGCTGAGACTGCAACCTGTGCCCACCCAACTTATGGAATTTCTCACTTTTAACCTCTCTCCCTTTTAAAACCTTCTTATTCCTCTCACCACTCATCTCACACTGTCAGTCTAACTATGCAGCTCCATGTTCCGGAAAATCCACTCTTTCTCTCCAAAAGGTGGCTGTTGACATCCCTCAGAAACCCCTGACCAAGCCCAGAGGAACATTTAACTGAGGGAGACATGCTGCTGCTTCTGGTTAAAATACCCCAGGTTCTAACACATCCATGACCTATCCGAGAGTAGCTTTCAAACACAACCAGTCTTCAGTGGTTAATTTAGTAAGTGAAAATGCTTGCTTTTGGTAATGTTGCAGGGCATGAGGGCGTATATATAATTCATTAAAGTGCCTCAGTCTCTGTCCTTTTGCAGAGATGGACACGGGGGAGATCAGAATGTTATCTGACAGTTTAGACCAAGTGCAAAGGGTAAGGTGCTTCAACCGGCTGCGTAAAGGCCATAACTGCCAGGGCTCTACCTCTGCGCCTCGTGCGGAGCCACGGCCGATCTGGATCCTGAGTATCGGCCAGCGCTTGGCTCAGGGCAGGAAGAGGTCAAGGGGGAGACAGGGACGTGAGAACCATTCACTGGTGCTCAGGAAGAGCCAATTCCTGGATGACACAAAGGAATGGAAAAGCTTTAAAGATTTACAAATTATAGCTCAATTTCTATTTTTAGAGTTCGTTTTTAAAAAAGGAAAATGCTTAGTCTTTTTTTTTTCCTGACAAGGTCACATATATGCACGTGAAACAAAATTCCGAAGGTACAGAAGGGCATTTGGATGAAAAGTCACTGCCTCATCAGGCTGCCCTCCGAGGAGGCTATCGCGTCCGTTTTCCTGCGCATCCTCCCAGCGATATTTGGAGCCAGAGGTTCTCAAAGTGAGCTTTGTATGCAGCGGCCGCCACGGCCGGCTTACACTGCTCGCACACATCTCTGCTCGCCACAACGCCGCTGGTAATGGAGTCAAGTTGGTAGCTTGAAACTGACTGTGGTGGGAGTTTTTTTCTTTTTGGAGAGCCAGTTTACCAGACATTCAAGACCTTTCCAGGAGGCCCATGAGATCAGAATTATTTTCATCATTGACACTGAGATGTTATTGCAGGAGTTTTCCAGAGGCTACACGATGTTATTTTGCAAAAGACTGAATACAGAGGCAGATGCACACATTCCTGTCTTCTAGGCAGTGCAGCACAGAGAAGACAAGTAGTGACTCTGTGGCATCTCACTACACTGATGGGCAGTGACGGCAATGGGGTGTGGGGGAACTTGGTAATACGAGTGTACATCAATGATACCTTAATAAAAAAACACAAATCCCGTCTTCTATAAAGTCAGATATTAAAGAGATCTGCAAAAATAAGAATAGTGCCACTCTTTTCACTACTTTTTTTTTGGGAAATAGTTATATTTCATAAAAAATGTTATGGCATTCACTTGCATTGGATTTATTATGGCTATTTTTAGATGAATTAATAAACATGTACGCATTTTTCGTTTTAACTTCTAACAGTGAATACTGACAGCTATAACCCACATACACAAGCTTTGGGGGTCCTCAGTGATTTTTAAGAGCATAAAGGGATTCAGAGAAGTAAGATCCTGCTTCTTGCTTTTTTCACTTGGTACATCATGGAAATTTCTGTATCACCTCTTTTTTTTAGTTTGAGCTTCCTGAGCAGCAGACGGGGAGACAAGGGTTGGGAGGGAGTAGTTTTGGAGTAGTTTCTTCAGAAAGAGACCAAGAAGGGCTGAGAGGAGCGTGTTTATGGCTTCACAGGGGGAGCCCCTGGCTACAGGCAGGCTGAGGTTAGCAGTGGGGGCGTCCACAGGCTCCTGGACTGCAGAAACCCTGATGCGCCCTTCCCGCCCGGCTCCCCCCAGCACTGCCCAGCACTCTGCAACCTCAATGGAGACTCAATGCAAACACCAGCCCACACTGCGCTACGAGCTTTCAGCAAACTTACTTAAGCTAACAAGCCTATGAGGCAGAAACTCTTGTTAGTCTCGCTTTACAGTGAGGAAACTGAGGCCCAGTTTTAGAGCCAAAGGGACCTCAGTGAGCCACTCGCTTTATAGGTGTGGGACCCGAGGCTCCAAAGGTCAGGGCCATGCTCCAGAACACGCCATCAGGAGAGGCCCACGGCGCTCTGGGGACTGCACGCCCCACTGTGGGCCGGGGAGCTGCCCTCTGTGCAGGGGTCTCACCCCCTGCACAGCTTATTTACCGGGATTGTAGCCAACACAGGTAGGGATGGGGAACCTGGGGGATGAAGAGGGGGCTCTGGGAACGTGTGTGGGAAGGGATACAAAGTAACAGAAGATAAAAGTAACAGAAAGGAAAGAGCAGTCAGACCCCCAAAGTTGGACGTATTATACGAGGGTTTCCATGGCAACCATGACTCCTATCTAGTAAACACAGGCCGCATGTCACAGCTGTGTGAAAGACCACCGATGTGTACAATTTTGTGATCTGGATACAATTTTAAATTCTAACACATTCCTAGAGACTTCTTTCCATTGGTGGGAGAAATAATGCTTATCAAGACAACTTCTAGGGGTACAAACTACTTCGGAAAGAACTTCGTCAATGTTTAAACAGGCCTATCTTGATCTTCTTTTATCACTTTCAGCTCACAAAGACCTATAACCCCATCCTTCAGTCACTTACAGAGCTTCACACACCTTGACCATGGTGATACACAGTTCCTGTAATAAGCAAAGGCCAGGAGAACAAAGACCCTGGGCTAACAGGTCTTTTACTTGACAGCTGATTTTAGATGAAGCGCAGGCGGGAATCCCAGGCCTGACTGAGGATGGGAATCCTGGTAGGAGCGGACCTTGCATTGCCATGAGCTGTTATTAAGGACTGCTACATTGCACAAGAGGCTGCAGAGAAAATGAGAGACACCCTGAATGTGACCTGGACTGGGATCACCGTTGATCACTATTGTTATTTTCATTACACCTGCCTAGGAAGTCAGCTGTTACACATTTTTCTCAACACATGACTTCAAAACCTCTACTGACAGAAGGAGCCAAGCATTAAAGTATGTGCAAAGATTCAAAATCAACTGCTCATTACAGGGCTACCCAGTCAATAACAACATACTTGGAGGTTCACTGGGGATATCTCAACTATGTAATTCAAAAATGCCATAAAGCAGCTGGAAGAAAATATGCCGAAATGTTAATGACCTCTAATGAGGAGGCTTGTGGATTATTTTTTTCTCAGTATTTTCCTCCACTTTCCAAACACTCAACAGTGAGCATGCAATTCTTCAAAAATAAAAAATAAAAATTTTTAAACAGAAAAATGGAAAGTATTAGCAAATCCTTACTTCCTGGCCAGGCCATAGTCTAAACTATGTCTACAAACAGCAACAAGCTAAGAATGTAAAGTCATATCCCGTAACTTCTAAACTTTTAAAATAAAATGTTCTAAGAAACACTTTAACAACGGACACATTAAGTGAAGATCTTTCATTGCCCAGCTGACCCTGAATGACGCGGCCCAGGAGGGGTACAATGCTCCTCGGGGATGGGGAAAGTCTTGGCTCACAAGGAGCGTAAAAAAGGTGAGAGACCAACTTTGAACCCTAAGGAAATGTCATTTCCTAGTGGGCGCATTACAGCTCAACAGGTGCATCTGCCTGACTCTTGGAAGTATTTTTCAAAATAAGCTAAATTTGGTGGGAGGAAAATAAAAAAAATCCAGACTGTCCTCTGGGTGAGGGACCCAAGCTGAGCACCAAGGCAGGTCATTCAGAGGGTTTGTGATGGGAGAGCAGTTCAGGGACCGGTCAGGGCCGAGATGCCTACCTCGCTGGGCTTCTGCGTTCCAGCAGACAGATGACTGAGAATGAGGTCCTTTCTTTGGGGTTCTCTTGTGTCTGAACAGCCCGGGAGATGTTCTGACTGGCACCCGGACCCTCTTCCCCCAACTCCTGAAAGCTGGACCAAGCTGGGCAGCCGGAGTCCAGGGCAGGAGGCAGTATGGAGGGCAGGCAGTGAGGTGGTGTGGGGGGCTGAGGAGAGGCCAGCCTCCAGAAGAGGAGTGTTGTGAGGTCCCGGTCAGAAATGGGTAGTAGGGGGGTCACACAAGAATCTGACTCGGGGGGAGTTAATGTGAGCAGGGGGCACCTGGTGTGGTGATTCCTCGGCAAAGTGCTTTCCCCTCCGAGGACCACTGGTGTCTTCCGGAATGTCCCCGGGCTTTCAAAGGAAAAACTTTCTCTAGTGTGGCCCCTTGGGGTCTGGGAGGGGCCCAGGGGCCTCTCCATCAGGTCCTTTAGGAGGACTGGTGCTCCAGAGAGAGCGGCCAGCTAGGCCTCTCCAGAGGGCAGCTGAGGCAAATCAGAGGCACCACAGGCGACGAGCAGCAGGCCCAGAAATGGGAAGTACTTGGGCTTCCTGAAACCTCAGGCTCAAATCCCAGCCAGCTGACTCAGGATTCTCCTCCGCTAAGTGGGAACCTAGGACTCGCCGCTGCGCTGAGGTTCGCCAGGAAGCCCAGGCCCTGACCTCAGGCCGCCCATGGGCAAACCCTCCCCACTTCCCAAGACCTGTTTCCAGGTGCAAAATGAAGCAAACGCTCATCACCGGTCGACTTGAGCACGTGAGCCCCAGAAGCAACGCGATCAGAAGCGGAGGCCCTGGGGACCGTGGGGCACAGAAGGTAAAGCAGAGAGCACACCGTTTTAAAGGTGTTGATAGCAGAACAGGCTCAAGGACTTTAAAAGTTGAAGACCTAAGTCGTCCCTTCCACCCCTGCCTCACCACGTGACTGGACTCAGCGATGCCTCTCTGCCACAGTCACACAGAGTTCTAGAAACTGCAGAGAGGAAAGGACAGCAGCCAACCCCAGGTAGCACCGGCCCCACAGCTCCCCACGCAATCCTACGAGCTCTTACT